ACCTCAAACTCTTAGGTTTACACAATTCTCTTGCCTCAGCCTCCCAAGTAGCTGGGACTACAGGCACCTGCCACAATGCCTGGCTATTTTTTCTTTTTGTTGTTGCAGTTGTCATTGTTGTTTTTGCTGGCCCAGGTTGAATTCGAACCCTCCAACCTCAGTTTATGTGGCCAGCACCACTGAGCTACGGGTACCCCCCTATTTTTTTTCCAAGAGATGAGGTCTCACTCTTGCTCTGGCTGGTATCATGAAATTTAAAATACAATTTGTTTATTCGCAGTATTTTTACAAAATATATATGTATATATATATTGAGACAGAGTCTCATTCTGCTACCCCAGGCTAGAGTGCTGTGGCATCATAGCTCATAGCAACCTCAGACTCCTGGGGTCAAGGGAGCCTCTTGCCTCAGCCTCCCATGTAGCTGGGACTATAGGCGCATGCCACAATGCCTAGGTAGTTTTTCTATTTTTAGTAGAGATGGGGTCTCCCTTTTGCTTGGGCTAGTCTTGAACTCCTACCCCACCTCAGGTCCACCCACCTCAGCTTCTCAGAGTGCTAGAATTGATTACAGATGTGAGCCACCACACCTGGCCAAAACTATTTCTTTAAATATACCTTAGACATTGAGTGTTAGAAACATAATTTAGTTGAAATAATTCTCAAGAAAGCCCATATATGTGAAACACTTTTAATAATGGCAGTGGTCAAACCCTCTTCTTTATCATTCCATTTATTCCACTTTGAAATAATTCAGGTAGGGGGTGTGGTAGCTCATGCTTATAATCCTAGCACTCTGGGAAGCCAAGTAGCCAGGCTTTGTGGGGGGTCCTGTTAGTCCCAGCTACTCAAGAGGCTAAGATAAGCGAATCACAATCACAAGAGTTTGAGGTTGCTGTGAGCTATGATGCTATGGAACTCTACAGAAGGTGACAAAGTGAGACTCTGTCTCAAAAAAAAAAATTCAAGTAGGGTAAAAAACCTATACTTTCACTGAATATGGTTACAATGCAGTCATAGTAGATATTAATAGATCATTATTAAACTATTAATAGCACGCTTCTCACTTTTAACAGAAATAATATGGTGGAGAGACTTGGAGAAAGGAATGATCAATGTGAAGAAGATTTCAGTCCAATTGCAAATCTTAATCTCTACAAGAAAATTTTTATTGGAGTAAAACAATATGATTACAGTGCTTATGGAAACATCTTCATGCACCCTTCATCACTCAAGAGTTATATCACAGTTCACAGTGGACACAAACCATATCAGTGCCAGGAATGTGGGCAGGTCTACAGTTGTCGTTCACACCTGAGAATACATATGAGAACCCACAATGGAGAGAGACCCTACGTGTGTAAATTATGTGGGAAAACTTTTCCTCGTACTTCTTCCCTCAATCGGCATATGAGAATTCACACTGCTGAGAAAACCTATGAGTGTGAGCAATGTGGGAAGGCCTTCATTTATTTTTCAAGTCTTACTAGTCATGTGAGAAGTCACACTGGAGAGAAGCCATATAAATGTAAAGAATGTGGAAAAGCTTTCAGTTATTCCTCAACTTTTCGAAGACACATGATAACACACACTGGAGAGAAGCCATATAAATGTAAAGAATGTGGGGAAGCCTTTAGTTATTCCTCAACATTTCGAAGACATATGATATCACACACTGGAGAGAAGCCACATAAATGTAAAGAATGTGGAGAAGCCTTCAGTTATTCCTCAGCTTTTCGAAGACATATGATTACACACACTGGAGAAAAACCCTATGAATGTAAACAATGTGGGAAAACCTTCATTTATCTCCAGTCCTATCGAAGACATGAAAGGATTCACACCGGAGAGAAACCCTATGAATGCAAACAGTGTGGGAAAACCTTCATTTACCTGCAATCTTTTCGAAGACATGAAAGGACTCATGGTGGAGAGAAACCCTATGAATGTAACCAATGTGGAAAAACATTCAGTCATCCCTCATCCTTTCGAGGACATATGAGAGTACACACTGGAGAGAAACCCTATGAATGTAAGCAATGTGGAAAAACTTTTAATTGGCCCATATCCTTACGGAAGCATATGAGAACACACACTAGAGAGAAACCCTATGAATGTAAGCAGTGTGGGAAAGCCTTCAGTTTGTCTGCTTGCTTTCGAGAACATGTGAGAATACACCCAGAAGACAAATCCTATGAATGCAAGCTATGTGGGAAAGCTTTTTATTGCCACATATCCTTACAAAAACATATGAGAAGGCATACTGCAGAGAAACTCTATGAATGCAAGCAATGTGGGAAAGCCTTCAGTTGGCCTGAACTTTTGCAACAACATGTGAGAACACACACTCTAGGGAAACCCTATGAATGTAAGGAATGTGGGAAAGTCTTCAAATGGCCATCATCTTTACCAATACATATGCGACTGCACACTGGAGAGAAACCTTACAAATGTAAGCACTGTGGGAAAGCATTTAATTGTTCCTCATCCTTACGAAGACATGTGAGAATACATACTACAGAAAAACAGTATAAATATAACATGGGACCTCCTCCTGCAAATAAATTCATGTACAATACTTCAGAGAACTCACACCAGGAGAAGGAACTTGTAAAAGTTGTAAATATGGTATTGCCTTTATGAGCACCTCATGTTTAAAGTGGACACATAAGGAGTATATTTATGGTTCATTTGCAGATGAATGGGAAAAATAATTTTTTAGGTACTCTTATCTTACATAAGTTGGGGTAGGTAGCTTTTTTTCTTACAATTCAGTAAATAAAACTATCTTTACAGTTTATTGGATTCATGGGTGATTTGAAATGTATCTTAAATATGAAATTAGGTTTAAATTTTACTGATTTTCTTAAATTGTTCTCTGAGTAATGAATTGTTGGAACAGGGACACTTTGGTATTTGTTAAGATTTATTTTTACTGGCTCGGCGCCTATAGCTCAAC